AAGAGAAACATGCACGATCTGATGTATAATACGGATCGTAGCATCATCGTCTCATCTTTTTGCAGATGACTTAACTGCTGTTTTTTGCTGGTCAAATTGGTGTACAGTTTTCATCTCAATGTTTAGATTTAGAAAAAAGAATTAAGTTATTTTGTGAACAACTTGAATTCTATTGTCTTCTCACTGTTCAACCTATTAATTATAAAAAAAACTGTTTGTTTATGGAGTTCTCGTGCGCCTCCTTCTCCACCTTTTGTGGTTAAAATTGATGAAAATTGTCTTAATTGAGTAGCCGAATTTAAATATTTAGGTTATTTCATCTCGTCGAGGTTAGGTTGGGGAAAACTTATCTTTAGATCTATGTTGAAAATTAGAAAAAGATTGTTGTTAGTCAATTCTTTTAAATTTAATGGTAAAAGTTCACTTTCTCTAAGACGTACTCTATTTTTCCTCATTTATTCTTCCTCTTTTCACATGGTTATTTCCAATCTTTCCACTCTTTAGTGATCTTCAACGTTCACTTCTTAGTCATTTCTACTTCACTTGTCTTAAACGTTCGTTATTTTGTCTTGGTACTAATGATTTTCTCTTTGCTTATCTATTTGATGAACTTTCTTTGGATGATAGATGTTATAGATATTGGCATCGTTATCTTGCTGCTCTATCTGACTCTAATGATGGTGTATTAGTTCTTGAACGTGCATCTTTGATTTCATTAAGACAATCATGGATTGATAGAGATTATTCCATCAAAGGTTTAAGAATGTCTAAAAGATACATAGGTAATACATCCGTGTTTGAAAAATGTACGGATTGGGTTTCTTCTAACTCTTGTCTTTCGTCTCTTCCTTCTTTTGATATGGAGGAGATACATCTTCTACGTCTTTTCCCTGAGTCTTTCTTGGCTTAGTTATTTGGTCATTTATTTATTTCTGTTCTATGAGCATTTTAATGTTCTTCTTTTTTTCTTCTCTTTTCTTATGTTATACTTCTATTTGTGCTTTAAAAATCTTTCTTCTTTCTTTCTTTTTCTTAAACTTTCTCTTCATTTTTTGTACTGCTAGGACCTTATGGTCATCAGTTTTTTTTCTGCGAATAAAAATAAATAAATACATTGGTCGTCTATTAGAAAATAAATCTAACATAAAAGAATCTTATGAGAATGATAAACAAACCGATAGATTTGGTTCATAGTTTTGTTATCATTATTATTTCTTTAAAACCGTCTGATGATCTTCTTAGCCGAAGTGAAATCTAGATTATGGCAGCTGGTCTCACCCTCACCTACGGAACCTTTTCTGATGGTTTAGTGGAGCTCTTATTTTTTTTAGAGTGAAGATTTTGTTGAAAGTTCTAATGATAAAAATATTGTGTACATTTTATTCTTGACCTATGTTCTCGAACGTTCTCTTATTAATGAAAGTTTACTTAAGATGTTCTGTATACTTGCTTTAGAGATATTGTTGACAAAAATACAAAGTGAGTCAACGGTTTTTTCGCATTTGTTCTTCTAGAGTATTCTACAACAAGATAAGTTATCATAAATGAAATATGGGTATATAGAGAGAGAGCTCGTAGATTTTTATTTCAGTGGGTAAGAGAAGGAAAAGAAGAAGAAAAAGCGTTTTTTTTTTCATAATATTTGTTTTCCGTCAGAAATGAGTATAAGGAGCAATGTATGTATAAGACAATAGATAAATCGATCGAGAGATAAAGAGAGAAAAAATTGTACAAATAAGTGAATACTTCACTTTTTGTGACAGAGATGTGCAGAGTAAGCACTTTTATTACCATGTACCCTGTCAGAGTAAAATTCAAAGATCCTAGACCTACCCTACCATACATATTTCGTATCCTNTGTTTCGTTCTCTATCTCATCACTTGCGTGAGAAAAAATTCGACGACGAGAACGACCTGAAAATGGATATCGCCAACTTCTTTGGTCAAAAATCCAAGGACTTCTACGAACGTGGGATCCTCTCTTTACCAAAACGTTGGCAACAAGTCATAGATACCAGTGGTACATATATAACTGAACGCTAGTTGTACTATTGAAGTTAATAAAAATAAAATTTTTGAAAAAAACGCAAAAACTTTGTTGCCAACCTAATAATAACCTCACCGCCAAATCGTTTACAGGAGGCCAATGCAAGTGCAATTCCACTATAAATCCATTCCCCCAGTCCGAATCCAGTGAATGGACTCCATATTCTGATGCACAACATGTACTTATAGAAAAACACTTTACCGATGGTAAACTTAACCCAACATTAGACGATTATACCATCGATTTCACACATGACATGCAAGTTTCCCTAACACATGCCAATACACAGCGGCCCGTTAAACGATTCCTACGGGAACAAAATAATTTTCATCCAGAACAAAACGGTATCGTTGAAGACAAGTCTGGTAGTAGTTATCTTCGTCTTGGTCTTCTTGGTCTTCTTAATTTTCTTCTTGCTGGTGCTCTTGGTGTTCATCTTCTTGTTAATAATCCTGTTTCTCCTGCTTATGCTGCTTATCTTAGTGGTGGTGGTGCTGGTGGTCTTCTTCTTCATCTTCTTGGTCGTGCTCTTCTTTGTCTTGGTGCTGGTCCTTTGGGTATTTATCTTGGTCTTGCTCTTCGTCGTGCTGATGATCTTGGTCGTCATCTTCTTTATACTTTTCTTGCTAATCTTTTTCTTGTTCTTCTTGTTCTTCTTGTTTTCCCTACTGCTCTTTTTCTTGCTCCTCTTCTTGGTGTTAACCTTCTTCTTCTTTTTTATCTTCTTTTTTTTTGGTGCTGTTGTTGTTGGTGCTTGTGCTTTTTGTGTACTCCAAAAGTGAGTACACTACTAAAATCGGTTAGTGTGTCCGTCCGTCCGTTTACACGATAACTCTTGAAAATTACAAGCAATTGGACAGAATTTTTTTCCGCAGATCCGTCTCATCAATATCTAGGTCGAGTTCGAAGATGAGAAGGATCGGTCAAGAAATGGCTGAGATATCGTGAAAATTCTAAAAAATCACCCTATGAGTCCTGAAAGAGAGTACAGGGATTTTCAAAAAAAACTTTTTTCCACGCAATATACTCCTAAAGTCAGTTTCATGAGGCTCATCATGTCCTACTATGATGTACCATAACGGAGATCTTGGCTCTTCGAGTGCTAGACTAAGATAAATACCCAAAGGACCAGCACCAAGACAAAGAAGAGCACGAAAANTTGTATATTGCGTTTGGGATTATAATCGATATACAAAAGCAGTTGATCAACACGCTGGGGGATCCTGTGCCACCTGAACTTCGTCTTCCTCCTGCAATTGTGGGTGCTTTTGCTCTCCCTATCGGTTTATTTTGGTTTGCTTGGACAAATTATCCATCAATTCATTTTATAGTTCCAATTTTATCAGGTGTACCATTTGGATTTGGCATGTTACTAGTATTTTTAGCTTTGATGAATTATTTGGTTGATACTTATCTCATATATGCAGCCAGCGTTCTTGCTGCTAATTCAGTTCTTCGTTCAATCTTTGGGGCTGTTTTTCGTAAGTCTTTTCCGGAATATACTCATTGAATAATAGTTATATTTGTAGCCCTTTTCACCACTCAAATGTTTCACAATTTGGGTACTCATTGGGCTACAATGGTTCCTGCTTTTCTTGCTACAATCTGTCTGCGAATGCCGTATATTTTTTGGAAGTATGGATCAATTATTCGAAGTTGGTCAAAGTATTCATCAGAAGCAACGGCTTTCGTGGTTAGAAAGTCAACAGCAAAAGCAGAGGAAAATCCTTTAGAAGTGAAGCCAGCAGGAGGAACGATCGAAGAAAACGAAGATATTCAAGAAGCTGCTGTTGTTATTAGACTGTAATTGACTATGAATCAAAGTATCCATAATGTTTTTTAGGACAAAAATCGCCTAACACTTCCGTTACTTGCTTTTCCATCTCGCTTTTATCTGTCATGTACACATATGTACACTGTTTATGTATCTAGTCTAAGAAAATAGACAAAGGATGATGATCGTCCATGATCACTCCTCTCTCTTTCTTTTAATCCTAAAAATTTGCTATCGCAATCAGCATCACTTACGAAAATCCTCTGCATATATAATAAATACTGTTTTTCTTATGTCCAGTAAAATATTTTAGAAATTAAAAAGAAGGATGATCAAGGAAAAATTCTTTGATAAGAATATGTTCGCATTTACTGAACTGATCAATATTATTTTCTAAAATTTATTAGGAAAGTTTTTTTCGAAGTCATGACATAACAAATCAACAATTCGTGTAATTAGTAAAATCTTCGTCAATGCAAAGTAGACCTTCGTACCCAGCGTATCTGATTGATTCAATTCATTTAGCTGAAAATAAATCAAACCAATATTATAATGAATACTTGTAATTATCAAAATTCTTGTCACAAGAATAGCTGGAAACATGTAAACTCCATAAGTCTTATGCTTTATCACGGTTTATGGATTGTATCGTGAACTTACGATCAAATTGAAGGTGTTCACAAAATAAGGTTAACCCGTCTTTCAAGATCTACATATTGAAGCGCGTATTGTTCTCCCGTGCGACCACTAAAAATCATTACTAAGATATCAGCGAAAAGATGTGAAAAAGACCAAGATAAAAAATTCAAGACATATATCATTATGGTAAATTACAAAATTTGTTCGCGTGAGCAAATTTTCTTCTGAGATCATCATTCTTAATAATGAACTATCTTTATTTTCTAATCATTTATCTGACTCTTGAAGATGTGAAGTACAATGTGAGTTTGATGTAAATATATGCTATCCTCACTTATACTCTTACTCACTAGTATGTTCTTCAATAAAATACATATGAGAAGGAAAATCCTCTTTGTACATATATTACAAAAGCTTTAGCAGCAATTTCTTTTAGTGCTGAAAAAATAAATCAAAAGTAACTTTGATGTACAGCATGATTCACTAATACTTGCTCATTTTCCTTCATCAACTTTATTCATGCTAAGCTTTAGTAAAATTTCTATTTTTATATAGTTGGATAGAGCACTGATTGTCCTACTGGTCAGTAAAGTTTGCCTTCGAGTTACTTCATACTGTAGTCAAAGAAATAATAGACGTCTAGGACTAGTTAATATCTACGTTTTCAGATTCATATCTCATCGAAAACAAAACCAGTCGGCTCAGAAATTCTTTCAGATCGAAGACGTTGGTCAAGCTATAAGATACAAAAACTACCACTTACGAAGTTTTTAAGTTTTGAGCAATAATTAAATTTTCCTCCTGAAATTTTCAATATTTTTCACTACTGCGTTTACGAGTTTCGAACGCATAATCCAAAACCAATGTCTGAAAACTAAACTAAACTAAGCTTAAATGACATCAATGAATAGAGTAATTCGCACTGCGTTCACCTATGTACAAATTGAAGCAACTGATGAAAAAGAAGTGAACTAAAACCAGCTTAAATAGAAAATAATTCACAAAATTTATTAATTTGTCCAGCATTCCAAACAACAAGCTGGATTACAACGGATAGTTTGTAAGGGGATTAAATTCCGTATATAGCTGTATAAAAGCGAGAAAAATCCATTCGCTTAGTAAATCATAAACACCGAAATTACACAACTAGAATATATCAAAGTTTGTCGGAAAAAAACCTTTTTTTCATTCATTCTCAAGATCTCTAATATTTTCAATTAGAATAAGAAATAAATTAAATCAAAACTATACGCGTCGACAGAGTAATCAATGCTCTATCCAACCAGACTACTATAAAAAAGCATCAAAGATTCGTAGAAATAAAATCAATGAAAGACAAATGAGCAAATATTAGTGGTCCATGCTGTATATGTGGTGGAAACAAAGGTACACAGAGAAAGGAACGAAGAAATAATACATAAAGAAATAGTGATTCATCGCCTTGCGCTAACAGAAAGTAATCATGGTGATGTCTGATGAGAAGTTCTTATCTAGCTGTTATTTATTAGTTACGTCTTATTGAGATTGATGAAATTTTGCATTTCATGAAAGAAAAGCCTTTAGTTTTATTTCATATCGATTATTTTAATGGACTTATGCACACCTATCCTTCATAGATGTGTAAAAGAAACTAATGAAATCGACTGCATACAGATTCTCTCGTTCATGCGTAATGTCAATGTCTTATACCACTCGCCATATCTTCCGTGATTTGTTAACATATATGGTTTGGAAATGTCTCCTAAAATATGTGGATATTTATTTGCTTGAGAGGATGTAAATCTATATATGAGTAAAGTTAAAGTCACATGGACGATAATCTCTTGTTTTTCTGCAATTTGATTCATATCTCTATTCAATTTTACATTCTCAAAATACAAAAACTGGAAAAGAAACCAAAAACATATTTTTTATATTGGACACCATGTATTTTGGTTTTGAGATTATGCAAAATAAGAGAATTACGATCTATTAAAGCTTTTCGAAATGAAATCATGTTATAATCCTATATTAATACAAAAGACACTATGAAATACTCGATCAAAAATATATTACTATTCTCTCTTTTGATCCTTTTTTCAATTTATTCGAGCAAAAAAATACGAATTTTTTGTATGATTAAAATCTCAAACGACGAAGAAATTACAAATAAGGATTAAGATTCAGGTAGTATTCGTATCAATAGTTTAAACCGGACTTTTTGAATAATAAAACGAAGAATCGTTTTGGTATATGGTTTTATAATTCGAATTTTACCACGAATCTTTATTCAACAAAATATTCTTATGATCATTAACAATTAATTAACTTATTAGCAGAAGACTATTTTTATTATCGAAAGAACAGTTTCTATTTAACAAAAAAATCCGATTAGAAATATTTTTGAATATGCGCATAATTGAGTTTTTGTGAGCAATTTCAAGAAATCTTTGTAACATCGTCGTCAATGATATTCGAAAGCAATCTACGATGAAGATATGGAGTATAATATAATAAAAAAGAATCGTGTACTCGTAATTATATTATTCGATGTAGTATTGGTAGATATCATTTAGTGATTTGATAAGCAAATTACTATGATCAAGTATAAAAGAGAGGATGCTTTCTATTTGCAAAAGTTACACATTTGTGCATCACCTTTCGACCCAGAATTGCTTTCCATCGACTTCGGTATTGCTAGAAAATATCCGGAATTACAAATTTTTCGATGATATTGAAGTTGGTAGTGCAAAAACTTCCAGAATTGTGCAACTTATCGCAATAGAACAACTACGAGTTAAAAACCATGTAGAAAGATCCCAGATGAATAAATATTTCCTTTCATCGGTAATTAAAATAATAATCAAAATTTGTTTATAGAAAACTTCGTTTTGCATTGAAAAATACAGCGTAATTACGTCCATATTGGAGATGGAGTAGCTGCATGGCCGAGTCGTTTCTTCAAATATTCGACATCACCGCCGTGCTTGCAGATAGCAACACGCATCATGGCAAGTGTATTGTGCGCTGCAGTACTATGATCATGTACACCACCATAGAATGAAACTGTAGCATCTTTGCCCACTTGATTCTTGAGTAGTGCCATACCACCGGGATGTAAATCAATAAACTTACTGACATCATGAATGAAGCCGGCAATCAGAATAAGTGCACGATCAGTATCTTTCACTGCCAACTCCTGATATTCTTCAAAGGTAATTATAGGTAACATCGTACTATTCTTAGGCCATACAATCGTTTGTCCAAATTTGTCCAGTGTTTTTTGTAACATACCATAGCGACCTTTTTGAATCTCATTTTCGGAGAATCTCTTCAGATTACTAGCTAGACCAAGCATCTTGAAAATATTGATTGCCCATTTAGTTGGATCGTACTGATACCAACGTGTTGCATTACGATAATCCGATGGAAACTCATGATGAAAATTATGATAACCTTCTCCAAGTGTGACGAGAGCAGTAATGAAATGATCTCGAGGTGTGTGTCGGTCGTCGAAAGGTGTATCACCTAAATAGTGCGCCAATGAATTAACGCAGAATGTGGCATGATGAACGATCAAAAGACGAAGAACACTGGCAAAGAAATAACCGCCACGATAGTCGTTCCACCCAAGGCCACATACAAGCGTAGGCACAACAAAACCCATAGTCACGTTCAAGACAAGAAGATGTTTATGTTGCCATTGAACACTTGGATCACGGTCAAGATCACTCGTATCAACAGTACCAATACTGCGACATGGCTTGAACAATAGCCAACCAATGTGTGAATGAAAAAGACCTTTATGTGCATTGTATGGATCGAGATCGGTATCTGTGTATCGATGATGAGCTCGATGTCCACGTGTCCACCAATGAACAGATCCTTGAACAGCACCAGCAGCCAATGTAACCAAGATATAACGTAAAGCCAAACAAGCTTCGTATGATCGGTGAGCAAATAGACGATGATAACCAGCTGTAATACCAAGGCCAGTTAATACACCCCAAATAAAGGTGAAAAGAGCCGTTTGCCACATGAAGGGTGTGCTGTAAATACCGTAAGATGCAATAAAAGGCTCACTTCCCAGTACAATCAGCTTTGGCCAATCAATTTTCTTGTACCAATTCCACCAAGTTAATGGTGGTAGTTCTGGTTGGTTTAATAACGTTCTCGCCACATAATTATTTTTTATAAAATCTTGTTCCTCTTCACTCGCAGTCACTTTTGTTTCTTGTAATGGTAAATATAACGATTGTGTGCTCACTCGTTCTGGCAAATCTAATGGTTTTGGTATGTAAGGTATATTGTCAGATATACTACTATTGTTCTCTGTAACATATATCATATTATCGAACTATATTGACATAAAAAAGTCTTATATATTATCTAAAACTAGTATAAATTAAAAACTTAATATCAAACAGTGAAAATACAACATAGAAAAATACTGATATACAAATGCAATACGTATTTATGCACTTATAGTGCGAAGCTAGCACGAAAAAACGATATGATAGCTAAAAGCTTCTGTGCTAAACAAGTCCCGTCAGCAAAAGTATCACTGTTTGATGCAGAATTGATTTCTGAATCTATTGGACCAGTTTTTATGGACGGGACTTTGTTTAGTAAAAAACTTTTTAGCTAACATATATCGTTTCGTCGTGGTAGATTCACAACAATGAGTTGAAAAGTATCGCGTTTACTTTCATCAATCTCGTTATAAAGCTATAGTCAGGAATTTGCGTATTCCGTATCAGTATAGGAGAAAACAAACGTATCCCTATGCACTCATCATTGTCATCGATTGAGCTAAACATTGTTTCTCTTCTCTCTGAGAAAATCTATAAAAATTCATTTCAATATTTGTCGTTACCTTTAGAATGATAATATACATGACTATTATTGCTTAATATTTTTCTTCATTTCATGCTCGACTGAATATTGTATGTACATATATTGAAGAGAATATTTCGCCTTTGCACTTTTGCTCTAGCGATACATCGATAAATGATCATTGAAAGTTTGGCAATTGATGTAGTCATCAAATAAAATGATTCATCAAGTTTATCAGACACATCAAATAATTTTCAAAATATATATCACTTGAAGATCATTTGTGAATGTAGATGTGTACATTAACTAGAGTAAGCTGTTCATTAGCATATACACTATTTATATATATGAAAAAAACTGATCTATTCTAAAATTTTTGTTGTCTTTCGTTTTAGTTTAAATTGAATCAATCAATATTCGTTCACTGTTATTCGTCAATCTTTTTAAATAAACATTCATGCGATTAAACCTGAGACTACATAAAATCGAATTCGACTTTAATGCTCATTCAATGAATTATTCCTAAAGCTTCAAATTTCATTAATATTTTGTCTTCATTTCGTTGTCATTCGTATTGATAGACTGTATTTAACATTTTTCTCTTCTGATCTTTTAATGGAATCGAGAAGAATAGTTTCATAGAGAATTACATATTAAATCATTTGTCGAGTTTCGATCCGAGAGAAAATGAAACAAACAATCGACACTTTTTCCTCGAAAAGTAATTTTATACCTTAATTTGAAAGCATATTTAAATATGCAAATGGTCGGTACATAGTGGTTTCTCTAGGTTTGATAAGAATTTTCACCATTCATGTCTTCTGAATGATCTTATTTCAATCTTTGAGAAATAATTAAAGAATTATTTCTACAAGATCTGATATTTTTAATTGTTCATTCATTTTTATAGAATTACTTCATAAAAAGAATTGAAACTTATTTTCTCAATGAATGTAGTTCTTCTTCTTATTTTTCAAGGTCATAACTGTAACGGAATAATAAATGTTGAATAGATAATAGTTCGTTACTGCTATGTAGATGATGTATATTGCATTGAATCCTGCTTCGATTGTGTTACTCTGCAGTTACGTCGCGTATAATACACAACGATAAGAAGGAAAATCGACAAAAAGAAATTGGACAACGGAATTTCGCCAATATTTCCGAATTTGAAAAGCTGTCTTGAAGGTGAGTGTGGGTGAATCTAAACAGTAGGATACTACATGAAACTTTGTATAAATATCCTCCTAAAAAGTCTAAGCAGTTTTTGAAACTTAGAAATATTGTCGATTTCCTAGTAAGCCGTGTTTTCTTTGTTGTCGCTTTTATACATATATGTCCTGACTGATCCCTCGAAAATGATAGAAAAACCATTTGTTACGGGGCATGTGCAACAATCACGCATATCTGACATATCAATACATCGTCACGTTCGGACTGTTTATCGCACTAAGCAAATTCTATGATATATAAAAATATTCTTCGTCAGAGCTTGTTCTATGCACACAGATGATTTTAAACGACGAGGGAACAGAGTCGTATGAGCAAAACAAAGGACGATCAAGTGAAAATATATCCGATTCACGACGGCGAGCAACTTGAAGCTCTGACGTTACTGTTAGTAGGGGAAGCTTATTTATGGTTTGTGGGAAAAGGCGAGACTATTGCTAATGCTGAAAAATGTAGAAAGTTATTTCTTGTTAAGGAATCATTAAAAACACATGTTGCATTACAAGATCCGAAATCAATCGAAGCATTTTTATCATCAGCACGAAAAATTGACGGTATTTCTGCAAATGATACTTATTTGGATGCAGCCACCTATCAGAATCGACCAAATCAAATGAACTATGCACTAATTTCGAACAATAATTTCCGTCAAAGCAATTTTCGATACTCAACTGCACCAAAAATCGTCCCATGTATAATCGAAACACATCAAGTGGATACAATGGTGGCCGACAAAACAAACCTTCGGAGCATACAAGACCAACACAGCGATCGAACGCATGTTTTAATTGCGACACTCTGAGAAGTGCATTTTTAGCTGACGGACACACACGGCTTTTTATTCTGGACACATTAGAATTGTACATCGATATCGGCGATAGGCCAGCAATGATCAAAGGATATGTTGTGAAGGAATTATGTTCCGAAAGGATATTAGGAATGGATTTCATTAGCAAATACAAGTTCATTATCCTGCACGAACAACTCGTTATACTCACATAGTAGTGCCAAACTCGAAACTTGCGTTGCAGTATTACTGCTGACCTATACTACCAAAAAATGGATCGAGTTGCAGGAAAAATCAAGAGAAAGCAGAATCGAATTTCCGATTTACACGATAATGCCAGACCCCATGAAGCAAATAACTTATAAATGAAAGCTAGTTAGACTTTGAAGACTTAAAAATAAAAATAAGATCCTTAAAAAAACGCAAAAACTTAGTTGCCAACCTAATAGATTAGAAGAATTTCACAGTTAGCTGACACATTAAACAATTAATTTGTAATAACAAGAAAATCTCAGTTTTCTCAATTGATTATTTCGTTAACTATCATAGTTATGTATTTAAAACTGTAATATGAAATTATTTAATCGGTGGCTCTCGACAGATTGGACATTGGTTTTTTCTCTAGAAAAATATGTGTTAAATTTGAAAAGAAAAAGAACTAAATATAATTTACTTGTAACCATGGATCTATACAATATTTATGATAAATATGAAGGCACGTTAATCGGCGTAATGTTTCATTTTCTTGAAATTGATCCCAACAAACACCACATTTATTTTGTTCATCACTTTTATTTGATGTAAGACGAAATCTCTCTGTTGGCAAAAGATTTATTTGATCGTTAGTCAAAGCTTTACTTCTTATTGATAGATTTGACTGATAGGAATCCTAGAAGAGAAAATTTATTTAAATAGAATTAATTTTATAGACGTTTACTTGATGATGATCCACATTTGAATCTTCTGTATTATCAAAAAATCCATTGGCTAAATCTCGTGAATTATTAGAAGCGGAATTATTTGGAAATTCGGAAGTCAACGATCGAAAGACATTTGAAAAATCATTGTTAGCATGATCATTGTGTTGATTAGAAGATCTAAATTGAACAGAACGCGGAGTGAATTGACGTTCCGATTGATTAGGTTGATAAGTTCGATGTGATAATCGCTGGTTTTGTTGTGCTTTTCTACTTTCTTCTTGTTGTAAATATGCTGCTAGCAATGCATCACTATCTATTTTCTGATGACTGATATCAACAAAATACAGAAAAGGAGTGTAATTACTTTGTGGTATTTGTCTGTATGAACTATTATTAGTTTTTGCAAATTCTTGTACTTGAAGCTCAAAAGCAAACGCTGCATCAGCGTCAACATCTATCGAATCTTGATGTTTTTGTAGAGATAATTCTTCATTCGTCCTATTGGTAGAATTCATTGAAAACTATAAAACAAAAATGATATTTCAGTAAAATTTATTTGGTTTCAAAAAAAATATTCTCACCGCTTTTGTGTGATGTTGAAAAATAAAAAGAAATTTCCAACTATCGTTTAGCCATAAAATACATACAGATGACTCATCTCTTTGTTTTTCTCTTTCCTTTTGCATACATTAGACAAACATAAGTAAGAGGTACTTCTTAGGAAAAAAAGTAAAAAGATAACATACTCTATTTTAATCTTTATTTTTATGAAATGAAGATTGTTTCTTTCTTAATCAAACTTATAATTAATCGCTAAATTTTACGATTCAGAGATATCTAAATAACTTTGTCTTCGATCGAAATAGCGATATTACGTCTGTTCAACATCGGATTCGTTCTGTTCCACGGTAAAATACCACGTATGTACATTAGTCACATATTACATTGAAATCTTTTAAAGAGTAAAATATTATTTCAGTTTCTCATATAGTATTTTGAGCTTTTGACTTAATAGACGTTAATATTCTAGATGGAGCCTCAAACTGATGCGTTCTGATAGGTCGAGAGCAAGGTTTCAGGTCGTTTTGATAAAGATGAGTAAAAATTGGATGATCAAATAAAGAATAAGCACATGGCAGAAATTTCTCTAAATCATCTATCCGAAATTAAATTAGTGCGTATTTTTTCAAAATAGACTAATAAAAACTCGAACAGAGTCAAAATTACATTGATTTTCAAACATTTTAAAACCAAAATGAAGGTAAAATATTCAGATTTATCAAAGTTCAATAACAGTAATACCACAAATAAGAAAAAAACGAGACTGAGCATAAGTTATAGCTAATTTTTTAAGAAGAGTCACAAGAAAATCGGTTAATATCTGATTTTCACGGATTTATTTTTGCACGAGCAATAGCATTTCTTGATTTAGAACAACAAATTTTTACTTCTAATAAGATGATTTTCTATACAATCAAAATCTTTAAAAGTATTTGGAAAAAGGTCAAAATACGAAAATTAAATAACTTTTATGTGTTACTAACAACATCAATTTTTTTCCAATTTTATGTCGGCTGATAGAGCGCCACAGGAGCCACCACTATATGTATAAAAACTGTTGATATGCACTAATTTGTTGAAAATGACAAAATAAGAAAGAGAAAGCCTTCGAAAGCGTATCGCACATACTAAGTGAATACCTCTGATAAAAAGGGAAACGCCACTCTAAATCACTTCTTGACATCTAAAGTTCTTCATCAAATTATATATAATATAATAAAAAAAATACGACGAACCTGGTCATGTCGGGAATAAACCAAGATCTGATCATCCAAGGAAACTATACTGAGGACAACTGACTTGTCTGAAGCTTCTTGGTAATCAAAAGACACGTGTTTCTTTACGTCGATAAATATCAAAATTTCTAGTCAGTCATGAAATTATTAGTACTCATTTGACAGAAATGAACATTAGATACTACAGAAAAAAAACAAAAGTCGTCAAAATATACAGACAAACAATTAGAGGAGTTACAACTTGGACGCGTCGATTTTATCGAATTTTACACATCAAATAAAGGAAGAACTGCAACAAAAGTGAAGTTCAAATGGGCTAAAAATATCAACCAATGGAATCTCATCACCTTTTTTCGCTGAAAAACAACAAGCTATTAATGAAACATCTTGTCTAAATCAATGCATTTTCGAGCGACTGATGCCATTCATTAACAATTTCATTCAAAGAACAAAGTTTTGACCTGATCTGGTTTGATCTCATTAAATCAGTAATGTTACTCGTTATTTGGACCAAAATAATGCTCAATTTGTGACAAGAGATTTTGATCTTCAAAAGTGTCCACAAGTTCGTCCTATGGAAACTTTATAATCTATACTGAACAATATGGTTTGCGGTTGAGGATGCGAAACCAAAAAATACTCATCAGTTGAGACAAAAAAATAAATATCGACAATTGGTTGAAATAAAAACCGGCATACCTCTTTGTACAAAGACTTTCTCGACATACACTATATATTTAATAACTAAAGTGCATCCATATTATAGTCACTAAATTTTCTCCGAGGCCTAACAATATCTGAATCTCGTAGTGTTTTGTGTAACGTGTTTATTATACTTGGTTTCATCGCTATCATTTTAGTTGGTTCGGTTGATATTTTTATTGTCGTTGACACTTTTACTAGAACAGTAAGCATAATGTTTAATGCTATATATCGCTCGAATTCGTGAGTTATAAAGATGTATGATGAGTGCAAGTGAATATACGATCAACATTTATACTTAAGTCTATTTCCAAGCACTTATGAACAGTAAAGTATTATTGACAGTAAGAATCTCTCTCAATCTGTTATTTTCTGAAGGGGATAGAATTTTTTATAGATTCTACGTCGTTTTATCGATAGTGAAGATCCAAAATATTTTGAAGAAAGTTCTATAGATTAAAATTTACGAGTCTTAATTGAGAATAATTTAATTATAAAAGGAAAATGGTTTTATGTTAAGAATTCGAAGATCTAACAATGTTGATAACATCTAAAACTTCAATCGTTTATTAAGAGTAAAAAATGTGATAAAATTTTACATTTTGAAAGTTTTTCGTGCATATATTCTTTGCTAATTACTATATCTTATCTCATTCGATAGGTTCTAGATCAAAAAGTCTGTATTTATACCAGATTCGTCCACCGTAGCAATTTATTGTTGCGAATCGCGGCGTTGGTTGTGTGAAAAATAAAACCAGAAGAATCAGCAGATTTACGCAAAATCTTCATTTAAAAGGATGTTGAAAGGCAGAAGTCACGGCCAGTGAATTGAGTCGTTTTGAGGCAGTAGCTTCAGGTTTAACCAATCATAAACTTCAAAAATAGAGCTTTTTGAAACTGATGACCGCTGCAGAGACTGATGTTCAGCGGCGATGGACGTCTCTGTTGTTCATATCTATTCGTGTGAAAGTATTATATATTTATATTTTCTAGCTGAAATAGTTATGATGAATTCTTGAAAATTTATATGAACAACTTTGATTTATTGGCTTCTTTTGAAAAAGAATTTTATTTGTTCATCTCGATTAAAAATAAGAAAGAATGTTCTTTTATTGGTTAATATGTCTTTGTTCATTGGGTTGAATTAATCAAAGAATATAATTTTGACATTTACCAGGTGGTCGTTTATTAAAATAAAGTCGACAATATTCTTCTGCCATACCCGTATTTCTACAACAGTTATTCCATGGTATAACATCATGATCATTATGTTTTTTCAATTGAATCAAGCTTAATATAGAGTCTGGTGCACGTTCACGATCTAATGTTCCAGCACCTTCAAATGGATCACCTATCCAATTACCGGCTTTATCATAACAACATTGCGAACCAGGTCCTGAACTTTTAAACGCATGGCGATAGCATCCATATGCACCTTTATGATATTCGCATGTTTTTGGTTGTTTACTTGCCATACAGCCGGCATCTGCTTTCCAAGTTTCTGCTCCATCATAAATTTCTTTTGGAAAACTAGTTGGAACAATACAAGGACAATCACGTATTTTTTGCAAAAGAGGTTCTGGATTTGGTTCATTATTGTTCCATTTTGTACATGTGTCTATATTTTTCATAATTATTTCTGTTCGAAGATTTTCATCGGAAACAAATTTGCCATTTGTAAACGAAATTACGATGATCAGAGTAGAAAAGAAAAAGATCTTCATATTTCGAATTACAGAATAAAAAATACACGATCTTTTTCATCATCAACAACAGTTTATATACTCAATTGAAGAAGATTCAAGATTTATCATTTATTACTCTGTTTTAACTTTTATTATAATCTCTCTCTCTCTCTCTTACAGATGTACAATGAAACTTTGAAACTAAGTGCATGTAATCGTAATGCACTCAGTTATGTTTTATTACTTTGTCGTTCTATTTGAACTGAAGTTAATATTATAGAGAACATAACAAATGATTTGTATTTGTTCTGTATTGATAAAAGTACTTTATAACACAAGGTAATAAACGGGTGAAAATAAAACAGCAGATGAATGTATATATATATATAATTCGGATGAAATTTGATCTTTCGCAATCGCTGTTAAACTTAATATTATCTATCTCGAGTTAATTCAATTTCAATAAATTTTCTTTTACATCTAATACTGATTCTTAACTTAGTTTTGTTCGGATATATTAGCAGTAGTGTCAAACTCGAAAATTGAATTCAGCTATTCAACTATTTAAGCTTTCTAAAATCCACTCTGTTAGTACTCAATCATAACCTACAAAATGACAGAATCGGCACAGAAAGAGAAAATGTGTGGAGCTTTGGTGACGATAGCTATTACAGGCACTAAACACATAGCAAATAATCAAACAAACTTTCTTCTCTATGCATATACATGGAAGCAGACAGCGAAACCCACCGCACCTATCCTGAAGATGCCCTTTAGATAAAAGAATTTAAGAATTTTAATTAATTTTCTCTTTTATAGCTTCCGTTCTATTTCTATAAACATTTTCCTAATGAGATAAACCAATTATTAAGAGCATTAATGATATTATGATCTAAAACCTAATAAAAGTTAAATTCAAAATTCAAATCATTTTCTTTTTTTTATGAACAAACAACACATATTATTGCACATTTATTACATTGTTCTTGTTTTTGGAACACTCGTATATCTGAACTATATAATTCTAATGAAAAAAGAATATGCATTATTTGTGAAATAACTTTATCAAGGCTTTTCGAAATATTTTTCCACCAGTTAATATGTAAATATAAAATGCCATTCCCACTGTAATATTTGAGATAAGAAGCAATATATTGAAAATAAAACTTTCAGTCACATTTTGTAGTGTTGTTTTCAATATATTTCTTGTAAACGTTGAATATAATTTTGATACAGTAAATGGTAATGTAAACAGACGAATAAGTAATAATGGTCGGTCAATTTTTCTTTGTTTATTTAAATTTGTAACAGTAACGAATCTAGGCCTTTGAGTTTTAATTCTATCTGGTATTGCCGTAACAGCAGGATATAAACGTGCTTGTGTCTGACGTACATTTGAAATAATCATTAGACCAAAGATAAACATTAATGATAATGGGATTAAAACAGTAATTATTGCAAATGAAAGATCAGCTAGAATATCACTTGTTACCGTTTTTGAAT